TGTTCATAAACTTCTTATTGAGCAGTGTAATGAAATTCACAAAAAGTATTGATTAGGTTGGCAAAGAAATTTGCTTCAATTTTACGAAACAGAACAGTAATTTACTTATCAATTCATTATTTACTACTTCTGCAAATTCTTTATGAAAGCAAAGCATTGATGCACGACGTTTACGAGAATTCATATTGCATTCCGGAATTATAATTTTTAATAACGTAAAGTGAACACGTGAGAAGATGAATGCATGTATGTATATATTAAATCGTATTATGATGATGATAAAGACTTTTATGAAAAAATTTCTTATTTTACATCACCTGAATTAGTGATGTAACTGAAATAATGTTATAACTGTTGCTGAAATGGTTCCAATTAATGATTTGGATGAAGATAAATTATTTGGTGAATACTGTGAAATAAAAGATACGTATAAAGAATTAACAAAGACAGATATTAGATTAGGTGTTCAAATAAAATCATATATTTCAATGAAAAAACCATTTACCTCAACATCGTCAAAACATCAAAATGATGCTGATTCAACGACAGATAATGATGATCAGGATGAGAGTTTTTTGAAACATAAGAACAACAATGACGCTCATATTCGTCCTGATCAGTTAGAGGCATACTTATTACATATGAATCAAAGCGAAACACCAAATGTGCAAACACTTATTTGTTATATATTTTCAATACCATGCACTAATGGATATGTTGAAACAATATTTAGTCATATGAAACATGCATGGTCAGATTCACGCAATCGTATGGATAACGAATCAGTTGCTGCTGAATTAAAAATACGTTTAAATGCGGACTTTTCATGGGCAAATTTTTATAAGCACCTTCTTTCACAGCCTGATTTATTAAAAAGAATAAGGACAAATGAACAAAACAGAGAGAAATCAGTTTTTGTTTTCTGAAAGACAGATCAGTTTCTTGTAGTGGAACGCCGAGCCTTTCAAAAGGAAAGATGAAATTCTTGGGGAGAAACATCGACTTTTCGCGAAAAAATGTGAAGTTACTATGGAGAAACATGGAGTTTTTTGCGAAAAAGAGAAGTCTTAGTGGAGAAACCCCAAGTTTTTCTAAAACAGAGAAGAAGTTATTATGGAGAAACATCGAGTTTTCTAAAAGACAGATGAAGTTCTTGTCGTGAAGCATCAAGTCTTTCACGAAAAACCATGAAGTTATTGTAAAGAAACAGAGAGTTTTCCTAAAAGAAAGATGCAGTTCTTGTACTGAATCAAACTTTTTCACTAGAAAGTATGAAGTTATTGCGGAGAAACACCGAATTTTGCCGAAAAACAGATGCAGTTCCTGCGTAGAAACACTGGGCTGGATAAAATATGAACTTCTTGTAAAGAAAGACCGGGTTTTTCACCAAAGAAGATGAAGCTCTTCTGGAGAAACGTTTGTGTTTGTGGACATACAGTGTTTCTGGAGGTATACCCAGTTTCTCCGAAAGAAAGATGACGTTTTTGTGCGAAACATAAATTTTTTCTGATAGAGAGATTACCTTCTTGTGGTGGAACACCGAGGCTTTCAAAAAGAAAGATGAAATTCTAGAGGAGAAACATCGACCTTTTCCCGAAAAAAGGATGAAGTTTTTGTGGAAAAACACTGAGTTTCTCTAACAGGAAGATGCAGTTCTTCTAGTGCAACACAAAAGTTTTCCTGGAAGAAATATGAATTCAAAAGATGCAATTGAATTCAAGAATCTCAAAAGTTGAAAGGTTGAATACTTGAATAGTAAAAGAGAAAATCTAAAAAGTTGAAAAGTTGAAATAAGAGATCGAATGGTCAAAATATAGATGGTTTGATTCCAAAAGTTGAAGATGATTTTCAACTTTTTGATAGTTGAAGTGTCTCTTCGAGCTTTACACGTCTGCAGAAAATCGACTAAAACATTCCATTACAAAAAAAGTCACATAATCGTGGATCGATGATTTTTCAATGAAGACGTAGTAAAGTAATGATATGAACACGCAACATCTATAATCGAGTTTTAATCAATAAAATGGATGCTAATAATTCGTATGTAATTTATTATAATCGATTTCGAATAAGAATCGATTATAGATGTTGCGTGTTCATATCATTACTTTATTACGCTTCTATAATCGATTATAATCAATGATATTTTCCTGTTTTTACAGCCACTCTAATGCATTTTCGAAGTATTTGGTTTCTTCTATGCTGTGCACCCATGATGGGCAAGTTCTTTCTATATGTTCGAATATGCAGAACTGCGTGACCATCATGTGTGCCTGATACTCAAGAGTTCAGTACTTCAAAGTGTCAAGTACTTCAAGTATGTCACATGCATTAGAATAGTTTTATGTCAATTTTCTCATTTGACACTGATAACATCGAATTCTATGTCGATGATCTTCAGTTTAGATAAAAGAATTCGATGAAAATCGAGGTCCCTGTCCCAAAGTAAATTTGCTACAAATATTTTATTTCTATGAACTAAAATTGTACTTTTTTTAATCGTGAAACATGCCGGTATATAGCCTTCTACAGTGCAACTCACGACAAAAATAAAGAAAACCATAAAATTGGACAGAGAAAATGCCAACAAAATGTGGTTAATGTTCTTTGGAACGCCTAAGGGGCAAATTAATCGGTCAAGTACCGACGAAATACTGGATCACATACAAGTACAATACTTAGCAGCGCGTACACTTGCAAGTATTAGGAAAATATCAATCTTTGCGTGAGATAACATGTTCAACGCGAAAAGGGGTGAATTTTGCGCGTAAATACGGAGCCTGTCGCATGATTGATTTACTCGCGTATACACGCAAGTTGTCTGAACTTTCGGCCACCATGCGTGTTTATGCAGGTGAGATATATGCGTGTACTCGCGAGTTAAATACTCGCATGAACGCACAAGAATTTCGCATGCAAGCTCTTGCGAGGAGAAAACGATTGTGTGTCAATGCTTGTTTTAAGGCTAAATCTGACAGTATGCGTGTACACGCGCTTGATTTAGCTTGCACGCACGTGGGTGCAACATTGTTTTGCGAGTAAATGCAAAAGTTCTGATATATTTGCTTGTTCACACGCAAAATTCAAGGGTAGTGAGGATATTCTGCATGTACATGCCGGTTTCTTAGAAATGCATGCGCTTGCACGCTTTTTCAACAGATGAGGAAAATCGATCGTTAATAATCTGTCTCCGTGAGTATTCATTGAGATTCACAGTACCCGATATCCTCAAATGAAGCATTGATACTTTATAGGTAGATAGATGTTCGAGAGATGCTTAGATCCTTTCCGGTTCTGATAGTTCATGGTCAACTATGATATTTAAAATGTGACGAATGACATTCTGAGAAAAACTCAAAGGAATGAAATGAAGAAATTGAATCCATTCAAGTCGAATTTAGTTCTGATTTTGACTTTTGGGTTAATTTCTATCGCTATTTGAGCGTATCGAGACCAGCCAGAGCGAATCAGAACCGGAACCAAAACTTTCGAGGCAGCCGGCACCTCGAGCAAGAACCTTTTAAACTAGAACTGAACCGAGATCGAAACCAGTCAAACCCGATTCTATCCATCTCTATATTGAGGTCAATCACTTGCATAGTCTATCGAAGAACAGTTCAGAGAAAGTTTGGTATAGAGTTTGATGAACTGGCGTCCCCGATCTGTAGTTGAACATCAGACCAACGACGAGACTGAAAAAGTTCACTCGAGTTATTCAAGTATCAGTACATCACAAACTGATATTCTCCTTCTTACCATCAACAGTGGCAAGTTGCGAAATGTGTACGATTTGTAAGTTCTCTATATCGATCCCACAAATGTCCTGTATTAAAGAAAACGACGCTGTAAACATAAGTTTTTATAACTCAAAACACTAGATGATCATCAACATATCACTTTTTATGGTTTCTTTTACCGAACTTACATACATATTGATATATTTACATTAGATTAGAACACAGAGAAGAAAGAGATTTGATAAGAAAACTTCACATTTTGTTCTCCGCTTCTACAACATAACATCCTTTTCACCAAACGTGTCATGGCGTACCTTCGTTTGTTATTCTTTTTGATACTAGCATTCATTCCTGAATCGTTGGGTTTTAATGTCTTGATGATTAGTATCGGTGCCGCTGGTCATGTTGTTCCGATGTTTGAATTGGCAAAAGGCATGAAAAATCATCATGTGACATTTATCACTGAATCCTATGCTCAATCTTATATTAACTTTACATCGTATCCCAATTTGTCATCATTTCGTCTTATATATTCAAATGATTCGACAGATGCATTTATTGATCAAAAGAAAAAAGAAAAAGAAATAGTTGAATATTTTATTAATCATTCGTTGTTTGATAGTTTAGCCTACATGATACCAAGATTAGGTATAAGTATCAGTACACTCATGAACAAGACAGTACATCTATTAATGGTAGAACAATTTGATGTAATCATTGGTAGCTCAGTGATCTTTGGTATAAATGCTCTTTGCAAAGAAGCAAAGGCATCATGTGTAATACAAATTGCGGAGCAGCAACTGGATCTTTTTAATTTTAATCAACCAAACAGTTTTTCGTTATTATCATCAACACAGTTAACTGAATTGAAATATCGTGTTTACAATGTTGCTTTTGCTTTACGTACTATAGTGTACGTCTTCAAACAATTGATAGCAATATTTTACACCATTTTTCAGTCATTTCCACGAGTACCAGGACCATTTTACGAAACTTTTACATTAAAAAACCGCTTGTTTACAAAATCCAAATGCTTACAATTATTTAATTTGCCACCAACACTCTATTCACCATCGTCTTCCCATCACTGGACTAAATACCTTGGAGCATTTGTAGATGAATCTTCAATCGACAATACTGATAATGATCTTACAAAATGGATCAAATCAAAACCTCTGAATTCTGTAGTTTATGTGGCTTTTGGTAGTACTGGTATAATTGAACTCGATCGAATGAAAAATTTGATCAAGGGTCTAGCTGCATTTCTTTTACAAACAGATACTGCTTCTGTCTTATTAGCATTTAGTAATATCAATTATGCTCAATATCAAACTGTACTGAATGAGATGACGAATAATGAATATCGGCGTGTCTTGCTGAACAATCAACGGGTGAAAGTTGAACCTGGATTTGTTCAATAAAAATGGATTTTACAGCAAAATTCAGTTAATTTATTTCTAAGTCATTGTGGTATGGGTTCAACTGGAGAAGGAATTTATTTTCAGAAGCCTATACTATGCTTGCCATTTCACTCCGATCAATTTTTCAACGCAATCGCAATTGATCAATCGGGCGTCGGACAATCGTTATTTAAACTACCATCTGTTTTACAATCATTTCTGAATCCGACTGATTTTCATGATTATACATTTTCAGCCAACGACGTAACAACGAAACTGTTAACAATGTGGAGGAATAGTACGTTCGAGAACGCAGTTCGAATCATGTCAGCTGAAATGAAACATGCTGGTGGTGTGAAACGAGCTGTGAAAGAAATTGAATTCTTAGTCAAATTAAATGGTGATTTAGATCGCTATATGCCATTTCAGAGTACACTACCATTCTATCAGCAGTTTATGGTTGACTTAGTGATTGTTTACATTGTTATACCTGGAGCAATCATTTTTTATGTATTTGTTAAATGTTGCAAACAAAATCGAAAGAAAAAAGTCGATTGATAAAGAAAAACTTAAAAATCAAATACGTTGACATTATGTTAACTGTTATATAGCAGACGATGCAAAAATTTCCGTGTAGAAGAAGAAAATAAGGTAATATTCGACTCAATCAATCAAGCGAGAAAAAGCTAAATTCCTACTCGTAGCATCTTAAGAAATCGTTAGGAATCCTTGGAAGCTCTAAAGGAACTGCTCACGAATTATGACTCAACTGATGTGATATAAAATTAGTATATTATAATTTATTTAAAAAAATAAATTTACTGAAATAAAGTATGTGTAGCAGTTACATTCTTCTTTGGCTATTAACCATTGGATGCAAAACGTTTCTGGAAGGAATAACCTCACAATGATTCTACAGTCAGCTGTATCCAGAACTCTTGCGACAACTATGTTGACAGTATGTATAATGATAAAAAACTTTAGCGAGCTATCACGCAAATGTCAAGAAGCTTATCGAGAGGGCTGTCGAGAGATATGTTGAGAGCGTTGTTGAGCTGGATTTGAAGAGAGTTACCGAAAGAACTGTCTAGAGAAATTTTGAGCTCTCCGTGCGGGATTTGCACCCATCGGATTTCATCGGACTTTGAGAGAAAGCCCGATCTTTTCCGGGTTTCTGCAGAATGGCCGAACGAAAATTCCGAAACTTTTTGAGCTCAAACAGATCTGGACCAGTAGAAGAACAGTCATGCGAGGCTAAATTATCTGTAATGCTTCGTTTTGAGGTAAGAAAATTAAGAACCGTCGAAAAACGCGTGATTTTGTTACATAGGGGATCTCTAATGTCGATCGTTTTTCTGTCGAGACCACTCTAACTCTGTCGACAACTCTTTCTAAAGGGCCTATAGACAGCCCTATACCCGGTCTAAGACAGTTTTCTTTTTCGGCGATAAAGTCTTCAATAAATTCGCTCAAAGAAATGCTTGTTGACACACTGACGTCGTTTCTGCAACTGTAGCTATGTAGAAAAGATCGACATTACGTTTATATCATCTTTTTTCTTTGTTGACTCGTAAAAAATCTATTAAAAAGGTACAAACATGTTTCCATCGCCATGCTACGAGCGTTGTTATTATTTATTTTTGATTATTTCACGAAGCTGTTATGTCTGGATGTATGTTATATTTCATGAAAGTTGTTCACAGATAGTATATTCTCTATGAGTATCGACACAGGAATATGGTAATGGAGTAATACGTAAATCGCCAAAACGAGTATAAAACTATTATTAACTTAAATAATTAATTAAAAATTATTATTATTTTTGTATAGATTTAAGGGGGGGGGGGCCACAGTTCCTATACGGGCCCTCAAACTATGTCAGTTTGAAAGGGACACCTGACTACATATTTATAGGCTTTATAAAATCATTGGCATAAATTGTTCGAGATGTTTTCACTCGATGATAAATTTTTGATCCGCTTGGTATTTTCTTCGTTATTTCTTAATAGAACCTCACGGAAATTTGGTTGATATCTCATTTTGTGCAGAATTACACGGATTCTCCACTGACGTGGTTGAAAAAAATTTTCAAAATGAATTTTGAGATCTTTAGGTCTTCCGGAAAACCAGGGTTTTCTCAAAAAGCTAGAAAAATTCATAACTCGAAAACTTGAGTATAGGCAATAATTCTAACCAGACGCGCCAGAGCTTCTACATAAAAGTCTTAACACGTTCATTTAAGTAGTTAAAGGATTTGTTTTTAAATCCAAAGTGGGAGGACAAAGAAGGCAGAAAAACAACCATTAACTATAATAGATAATAGATACGCTTAAAACATAGCTCTGACCACTTTTATTCTTTTCGGTTTTAAAATTTTGAACAAAATAATCTTTTATCCTGACGTCCACCAAGATTTTTTAAACGGTCAATAACAACATCCGGAATCCAATGATTATTTTTAATTCACTCCGCTAATTATGACTTGTCATCTGAGAATTTCATAAAAATACTTTATTTGTTGAAAACAAAAGCCTTTTCAAAAATGACGCGTGTTGCACATCTAAAAGCAATAAGTCTACATCGATCGAGAAAGCGAACTCTCATCAGCAATCATTCAAATATGGAAAAGAAAATGTGTTCTTTTTATCACTCCCAAACACTGTTAGAACTTCAGTTTATGATTTATTGTTTTTAATTGTGTAGATTCAAATGGCTGTTGTTATTAACGAATAAATATTCTTCGAATTTCACGTGATGATATAAAATAAATATAAAACCTAGAAGCATGATTAACGTAGCTTGCAAGACGAGCAATTGTTGTAAATAAATTTTCTTGTGCCAAACGTAGTAAATCTTTTTCTACATACATTGTAATGTTCGAATAGATTAATTGTACCAGATTTGGTGTGACGAATAAAATTGCAGTGCACATTTGTAATAGTAACATTGTCGTCAATTGATTTTCAATACGTTGCCGAATGCTAATCCCACCCTGGCCAGTAATAGCTCTTACAACAGGAGCAGTTCGTTGGTGAAGATTTTTATATGTTCTAACACCAAAATAAACTGGTAGAATGATCGGTAGAACTGCAAATTGAATCAAGTTTTGAAAATACGACGTATAATATGCATAAGCTGTTGATATTATCGAACACTTGTTATTCACATTATCATAATAAATTAAACTGGGTGCTTGTATTACGATATAGGACATAGTTGTAATAAAAATTGATATCCATGTCTTTTTGATTGCCGACCATTTCCGATACCTCGCATTACGACAGGAACACAACCACCGATTGACAGCGGCTAAAAGAATAAATGTATTTGATGCCAATGAAAATTGGAATGTAAAATAATATTTTAATTTACAATAAACCCTTGAGGTATTTGTTGGATCAATGTTAAAAGCAGCTAATATTCGTGGTACTAATGTATTGAATAAATATAGTAAATCGTAGATAGATGCACAAAGTAAAAACATTGCACACGAATTTGATCGAAATGATTTTTTTGATGAAAATATATAAATGTTTAGTATTGAACCGGCTGTACCAAATATAAATAAAAATAATCCAACGTAGATAGTTAATTGGCGAGATATTTCATTTAATAAAGTTGTGAAGACCGACATAATTATGTGTGAAGTACTTTATATTTGTTTCCTTATTTAACGCAGCTCCTTTACAAGCCTGAATATTAGAAACACGTGTATTTTCACTTTACAACACGGTAATGTCTTATTCTAATATATTTGTTCGACATAAAGAAATCTACCATACACCTAGGAAGAAGATTAAATATCATAATACAATAGCAGTGTATCCGACTTCTGCTGGACAGGGAAAACAGTCAAGCGATAAGCCCATATCATTGTTCGGTAGGAAAAATTCTAAAGAATTTTCTTCCGCTCTATGAACACACCTACGGATGATTTCCATGAATTATTATAATGTTCTGCAAAAATTGAATTATATTTGTTTCTAACCTAGACTATTAACATTTAAGCTTGTAAACGAACTAATATAAAAAAGGTCTCATTTTAATATTATCTTAGGTCAAAGCTTGCGTAAAGAAGCGTATAATTTGATTTTTAAATGAAAAATCAGCAATGCATGGCTTGTTGGTTTGAGGGAAAAATAGAATTATCTGAGTTGGGATGACGTCGTATTCAGAGGTAAAAAGCACATTTCAGAATGAGTACAAAATTTCTGAAATGTCATTCTAGGACCATGGACTGCCGTTCTGAATAAAATAAATTTTTTCATTTTTGGCCTAAATCTTGGTATACATACGGTTAAGCTCGGCATCTAAAAGATGGAATGCTATTCTGAGATGGCATTCTAGAATGGGTACATCTGTCTTGTAGTGGTTTTTCCGCCTTACCTGGTATGCGTGATCAACATGTGCTTATATACTCGAACAGCTCTACAATATATGTATGATATTAAAGCTGTTAGATAACATTTCATTTTATGATAATTTTTACATGACTGTATACAAGAACTTCATTTGCTTTTCTAATTGATTTGGTTACCTGTTCGAAGATAATTAAACACTGTGTTTCAAAAGATTGTTCTTTTACTAACCTTTCAAAAACACTTAGCTTTATCGGCTTAGTGACAATATTTAGCTGAGATAAAAATTAATTATCGAAAAAAATGATGTTGAATATATGCTTTATTACTGTCCTTTGTAGTACAAAGTACAGTACGGGTAACAAGAAAAATTACTCTAACTTATTTTGTACACTTTGGAGGACAGAATACACAATACAAAACCTGTAGAAAAAAGAAGAAAGGGAAAACATGGTACATACATCTGACAATTGCACTATGAAAAAGATTCGAGACTAAATTCAAGTACTTGAAGATCATCCTCGTCTAAGACAGGTAGCAAACATTCGATACGATTTTCTAGCTACTCAGTGGATCGGACGAATACAGCCTCATGTGCTACAAATCGTTTAGAACGAAAATTTATTTAATGGTATAATTCTTATCCAGTCATCGTTCTCTAAACACGTTGAAGGAAGCTGGCTCCATTAGTATATCCCCATCTACTGAAGTAAGTAGTGCATCCATGAAACTTTTCCAATACTTAGCACATCTATCCTCTAATGAAATTTCATCGTAATAATGAGAAAAGAGAATGTCGTTTAATTGTGCCACATGATAAATTCTTTTAAGGCTGGTAAAAATGCGTGAGGTCCTGTTGTTGACAAGGCGTGAATAGGGGGAAGATGGAACAAGTCACGTAAGTATGGGAAGGACAAACGCAGTAAATAAGAAATATTTAGCGATCTTATATGTTCAACCAAAAGTACACAGGACTAACTACCCGTTAAGCCCTGTTATCTCACCTGTCGAGTCCTACAATTATAATAAACTATCGAACAATTATATAAACTATCGAAATATCTGGCCAATATTCTTGTGAAAAACAGACCTTCACAATCGTTTTCGTTTCTAAAAGACTCGTTTCAGTTTGTGAAGAGAATTTAAACTTCGAAAAGTGGCAAGCCACGCTATGATCAGTTTTGATGTCGAGAATTTATACACTAATGTACTTGTGAAAGAGTCAATTGAAATTGCTCTCGACATGCTTTACGTTCAAATCAGAAATCAAACGCACCATTTGATGGCCTGCACGATTTAGTTCCCGAGGATTTAGTTCCCTTTAATTAAAAATACGGAAAAAAGCTACTTTTAAAAAAGTTGAGGATTTAGTTCCCTTCTCTTTAGTTCCCTTTTTTTAGTTCCCTATATGAATTAACTAATTCAGGAAAAGTGAATGTATAACTTTGTTTTCTATTCTGCCATTCGATTAAGAAACATAATATAAATGTGACTAAATTATTAACTAAATGTAAGCTAAATTAATTAACTATGTAAGTGGTATAAATGTAATTGAACAATGTATGTAGTATATATCAGAAAATAAGTATATAAATCGATGGATAATCTATAGCTTTATCACACTATCACTCGAAATTTTAAAAGCATAATCATGTCGAAAATAGAATATGTACAATCAACTCATGGTAAAACTCATGTATGTTATGAAGGTTTTCGTTATTATTGTCACCGTAAAAATGATGATGATTCAAAGTATTGGAAATGTGTTAAAAAATCTTGTCGTGTTGGTTTAACAATAAAACCAGATGGTACAATTAAGAAACGTGCTGATCATGACCACTTGCCAAATGAAGCTGATAAAGAAGTGTTGATTATACGCCAAAATTTAAAACGCAAAGTGGTTGAATCATCGTTACCAATTGATGCTATCATCGATCAAACATATGTTGGTCTCTAGAATTCAACCGTATGCCAAGATGTTGTAATTCAGTTACCATCTATTGCAACAATGAGAAATAATCTTCAAAAGAAACGTCGCAAAACAAGACCACCACTTCCCAAGAATATTACCGAGTTACCACATCCAGTTCCAATTAACTACCAAAAGAGTTTAAATGGCGAACAATTTGTACTTTATGATGGTTTAATAGATGGTTCACGATGTATTATATTTTCGACGCCAACTGATATGTTATACTTATCTCAAAGTGAAATGTGGTACTGTGACGGGACATTCTACGTTTGCCCATCAATATTTTATCAGATTTATTCTATCCATGGGTATAATGATGATGGTATTATGGCACCTTACGTATATTGTTTATTACCTGGCAAATCCGAAACATTATATACTGGTATGTTTGAAAAAATATTTCAACAGATGAACCAAATGAATTTACCAATACGATTACGTCGTGTCACAACTGATTTTGAATTAGCTGTTGCGAATGTATTCCACAAATATTATCCATACGTTGAAGTGAAATATTGTTTATTCCATTTCGGACAAAATTTATTTGGAAAATTTCAGGATTTAGGTACATGTTAAAGAATCTCATAGTAAATACGATATATCACCCAAACGTTTCTTTCTTTAGGCTTACAGACAGCGTATAAAGATGACGAACAGCTGCGTATATGGTTCAGATCATTTGCTGCTGTGGCATTATTACCACTTTCGCACATGATATTTGGTTTTAATTATTTGATACAAAACAAACCAAACTATCTACAACTGACATGTTTTGTACAGTATTTTTATCAAACATATGGCGCATTTGGTACTTTTCCACCGCCCACGTACAATCATTTTATGAATTTCTCACCGCGCACAACCAGTCATGTGGAAGGTCATCATTTGAAATGGAAAAAACGTAGTACAGCAGCTCATCCGAATATTTATTGTACAATTGATTTACTGCGTCAAGAACAATCACTTGGCGCATTTAATGCGTTTCGAGATCATATGGGTGCACCACAGCCAAAACGACGTCGTGATCAACAAATAGCCGAGAATTCCCTTCAGAAATTATGGCAACGATATTCGGAAGCAAAAACAGATTTGGTTTCATTCTTAAATACAGCAGGACTTAGATATTTTAACTATTTAGAACAATAGTGCTCGGATTTTTTAACACATTTTCAATACAATGAATCATCATCATTTTTATTTATTTGCATTTATACTACATACATAATTTAGTTAATAATTTAGTCACATTTACATTATGTTTCTTAATTGAATGGCAGAATAGAAAACAAAGTTAGACATTCTCTTTTCCTTAATTAGTTAATTGATACAGGGAACTAAAGAAAAGGGAACTAAATCCTCAACTTTTTTAAAAGTGGCTTTTTTCCGTATTTTTAATTAAAGGGAACTAAATCATGTAAGCCCCATTTGATAAACTACATATGAAAAAACTACTTGAATTAGTGGTTTTTAATGTACTTTTACGTTTGCTTGATAAAAATTATGGAGTGGCGATCCCATCGCCACTCGGTCCTATTCTAGCAGACCTTTTCATAACACATATTGAACAAAAACTCAATAGATTTTCAACTAATAAGCGACTACTCCGGCTTCGTTATGTAGACGATGTGTTTTGTACCTGTGAAACAAATCAAGACGTCGATGATTTTCTTCGAAGGATCAACAAAGGGCATAAGAGTATTTTTTCACGATCGAACGAGAAACTACTAGTCAAATACCATTTCTTGATGTTATGTTTTAATAATACGAAATACAATCAGTAATAATTATAAAACTACTATTTATCGAAAGCCTACTAACACAAATTTATATTTACAATATAAAAGTAATCAGTGTAGGAAATACAAATTTGAATTAATTCGATCATTAGTAAATCGCATTCTTCTTATTTTTTCTTCTTACGATGATGCAAAAGTGAATTGAAACAAGTAACAGAAGCATAATAACGGTTATCCCAACCATATCATAAAAAGAGGAATGAGAGAGGGAGAAGTTATTACGAAGAAAATCTTACAACGACAGAGTAACTATAATCGTCTAAACCAAGTTCAAGTATCGACGAAAACTATATTTTTTGTCTTGTCATTACTACGGTCAGGAATCGACTGTTTTCGCTGAACACATTACAATTAATGTATCACGCACGTCGAAAACGTTCACAATAAAGAGTATTTTCTTGGCAATTCAGAAAGGATATGATGAAAGACGGCGAAATAAAAGACATGTGTGTGTACAGAATTTCGTATAACGATTGTGAAAAAAGTTACTGTGGAGAAACTAGAAAAGAAAAACAAATTCGCATGAACGGAGGTCGATAATGAGGTTCGCCTCGCTGACCTTGTCTGGTTGAGAATCAATAAAGACATAAAACAAACAAATTCGCATGAAAGAACACCAATCTGATATTCAGAAAATCGCACCAAACCCAGGTGTGGCTCAGCATGTCATTGACGAAAAGTATACATTTGCCTTTAAAATTCTGAAACGTTATGTCTTGAGACTGATTGAAGAAAACGAGCCATAAAACAGAGTCTATTTACAATTGAAACTTACGGTCAATCATTAAATGACGTGGAACATTAACTACGAGTATTCTAAATAATTCTGTATAGTTATCTTCAATACGGACTACATTATTTTCTCCTTATTAAAGGAAATGTTTTTCTGAACGCATATACTGTTCTAAAACAGATGTGTTTCTAATATTTAAGCTTGTAAAAGAGGTGCATTTAATATAAAACAAGAAGCAAACATAACATACTTTACACATAATCATGTCGGCCTTCACAACTTTATTAAATGAAATATCTCGCCAATTAACTTACTGCGTTGGATTCTTTCCATTTATAACTAGTACGGTTGCTTTACTACTAAACATTTATACATTTTCATCAAAAAAATCATTTCGATAAAATTCGTGTGCAATGTTTTCACTTTGTGCATCTATCTACGATTTACTATATTTATTTAATGCAGTATTATCACGAATATCAACTAGTTTTAACATTGATCAGGCAACGTCATAAAGGATTTATTGTAAATTAAAACTTTATTTTACATTACAATTTTCATTAGCAGCAATTACATTCGTTCTTTAGCAGCTGTCAATCGGTGGTTGTGTTCGTGTCGTAATGCGAGATATCGAGAATCGTCGACAATCAAAAACACATGCTTATCCATTTCCTTTACAACTATATCCTACATCGGAATACAAGTACCCAGTTTAATTTATTATGATACTATCAATAACAACAATAGCAAGGTTACGATTGCAAATATGTGTTGAAACTTTATTCGTCACACCAAATGCGGTACCATTAATCTATTCAAACATTACAATGTATGTAGAAAGCGATTTACTATGTTTGACAAAAGAAAATTTATTTACAACAATTGCTCGTCTTGCAAGCTACGTTAACCATGCTTCTAGGTTTTATATTTATTTTATATCATCACGTGAAATTCGAAGAATATTTATTCGTTATTTATTCGTTATTGACAATAAATCATAAACTGAAGTTCTAACAGTGTTTGGAAGTGATAAAAAGAACACATTTTCTTTTCCATATTTGAATGATTGCTGATGAGAGTTCGCTTTCTCGATCGATGTAGACTTATTGCTTTTAGATGTGCAACACGCGTCATTTTTGAAAAGGCTTTTGTTTTCAACAAATAAAGTATTTTTATGAAATTCTCAGATGACAAGTCATAATTAGCGGAGTCGATTATATCTAGTTCATTGGATTTCGGACGTGTCTTTTTGACTATTTTGCGTACGACGGATAAAAGATTATTTTGTTTAAAATTTAAAACCGGAAAGAGTAAAAGTAATCAGAGTCATGTTTTAAGCTCATCTATTCAGATAAAAGTTAATTTAGTTAATGGTTGTCTTTGTGTCTTCTTTGTCCTCCTACTTTGGATTTACAAGCGATTCTTTTAACTACTACCTGGAGTTATCTGCTTAAATAAAACGTTTCAAGATTTTTATGTAGGGGTTTTTGGCGCGCTGGGTTAGATTGTTGCCTATACTCACTTTCAGGTTAGAAACAGGTTAGAATTATGCTGACATTTTCTGTTATTTTGAGCATCATCGTTTCAACTTCTGTTTTGCTTAATTTATGCCAGACAAATTTGGTTGGAGAAATAATAATTCAAACATAGTCTATTCTTTAGTGTAAGAACAGTATACTTTGAATAAAGTGCTTATAGTTTTGTAAAGATAATATTATAAAGAGTTACAATTATATTTCTAGAGTTAGCAAGATTTAGATCAAAACCAAAAAATTTATTTTATTCTAGAATGACATTTCAGAAATTTTGTACTCATTCTGAAATGTGCTTTTTACCTCTGAATACGACGTCATCCCAACTCAGATAATTCTATTTTTCCCTCAAACCAACAAGCCATGCATTGCTGATTTT